TTGTTTCCACATCTTTGCGATTGTGAATTGTGCCGCTATAAACATTCGGGTGCAGGTGTCTTTTTTATAGAATGTCTTTTTTTCCTTTGGGTAGATGCCCAGTAATGGGATTGCTGGATCAAATGGTAGCTCTACTTTTAGTTCTTTGAGGTGTCTCCATACTCCTTTCCACAGAGGCTGTGCTAGTTTGCAGTCCCACCAGCAGTGTATGAGTGTTCCCATCTCTCCACATCCGTGTTAGCATTTGTTGTTTTGGGACTTTTTGATAAAGGCCAGTCTCACTGGAGATAAGTGATATCTCATTGTGGTTTTGATTTGCGTTTCCCTGATGTTAGAGATGTTGAGCATTTTTTCATATGTCTGTTGGCCATTATCCTGTCTTCTTTTGAAAAGTTTCTGTTCTTGTCCTTAATGTGGTTGTTTGATTTTTTTCTTGCTGATTTTCCTGAGTTCTATATAGCTTCTGGTTATTAGCCCCTTATTGGATATACAGCGTGCAAATATTTTCTCCCATTCTGTAGGCTGTCTATTAGCTCTAATGATTGTTTCCTTGGCTGTGCAGAAGCTTTTTAATTTGATCAGGTCCCATTTATTTATTTTTGTTGTTGCTGTGGTTGCCTTTGGGGTCTCCTTCATAAATTCTTTGCCTAGGCCAATGTCTGTAAGAGTTTTTCCAACACCTTCTTCTGGAATTCTTATGTTTTCATGCCTTAGGTTTAAGTCTGTTATCCATCGTGAGTTGATTTTTGTGAGATGTGAGAGGTGTGGATCCTCTTTCGGTCTCCTAGAATACCTTTCTAATGGTGCTTCTTAAAAAGTGTCTTACGTTCGGTGCTTGATAGGCTTGGGTTTCACGTGTGTGAATTCTCCTACTCACTAAAATACATTTGTACCCCCAAAATCAACGCTCATGGGGCTTTTGCAGTTATTTGCAGAGCAGTAGAAAACGCAGCCACCAGGCCCACAGATGCCCAGCCGGGGTCCAAGACGCTCCGCCATCTTGTGTCAGCTCAGGCTGTGAACTCGTGTCCTTTCCGTGGGCTCCCGAGCGCTGTGTTTGTACATCGAAGGCACGTCCTTTGTGTCGGAGAATGATGTTCCTGCTTCTCTTTCCCTGAGGGCTTTGAAACCCCACACAGCCTTGGTTTCCCTTGGATGACTTGACACAACTCAGTCCTCCTTGGGAGGTGGGGACACTTCGGTCAGCTGGAGTTTGGCGTGGGGTCACTAGAACACCAACAGCGGGTTGCTGTGTGCGGTCTGGGCTTCCTCTCAGCGTGGACTGCAGGTGCCAAGGTGACAACAGGATTGAGTGGGAAGGAGAGAGAAAGAAAGAGAGAAAGAGAAGAATGTGGAGACAGAGGAGAGAGGGAGGGAGAGAGACACCCAAAGGGACAGAGACAGACACAGATGAAGAAAAGAGAGAGAGTTGAAGCAGCCACAAAGACCCACCGATATCTGGCCAAGATTTTGGAAATGTTGCTGACCCCGGTGTTGAGAAACAGGCTGCACCGTGTACCGTACTCGCGTGGGTGTCTGCGTGTGTGCACAGACCTGCGGACACACACCTACAGCCGGGGGTGCGTGCAGAGTGACGGTTTCCTGCAAAAGCCTCACGCTGTCTTCCTCCTGCAGGCGGCAAAGGCATGGGCGGCTGGGAAGGCGGGATCCGCGTGCCGGGGATATTCCGCTGGCCCGGGGTGCTGCCGGCCGGCCGGGTCGTGGCCGAGCCCACCAGCCTGATGGATGTGTTCCCCACCGTGGTGCAGCTGGGGGGCGGCCAGGTGCCCCAGGACAGGTGTGTGGTGGGGAGGCTGCCCGCTCCCTGGGTCCCGAGAGCTCTTTTTTTGTTCTTTCGCGAATACAGCTGCTTCAACTCTCTCTCTTTTCTTCATCTGTCTCTGTCTCTGTCTCTCTGGGTGTCTCTCCCCCTCCCTCTCTCCTGTGTCTCCTCATCCTTCTCTTTCTTTCTCTCTCCTTCCCACTCAATCCTGTTGTCACCTTGGCAGGAGGCGGGGTGGCTAGAACAACATCAGAACTTTAAAGAAACTATTGCCTTCTTCCAATTTAGGGACCAGCCTAATGGAACACGACCACGCCCAGTAAAATTTAAGAGTAAATATTCGGTCACGCCGCTCATTTTCCATTATCGGTAAAACTCGGCACCTCGTCATAGCAGCCGGGAGACTAAATCATTGGCGTGTGGCCCACGTGAGGACATTTCCCTGTGATTTCCTGACACACAGTCCTGCCAGTGTGTTGGTGATTTACCGCCTCGACATTGGCATGTTGCCAAAGAGTCAGCTTAACACAGGAGAAAAAAATACAAATGAGTATTTTGGTAATGATTTTAATTTATTCCATTTAAAGAAACAAATACTCCTGTGTAAGGTATAATCATGGGAGGTACCCCGTCTCTAACTTCTTATCCCCAAAAAGCATTTTATTATATTAGTGTTATCAGGGTTCTCCAGAGAGACAGACCAACAGGATGTGTGTGCATGTACAAAATACATATATGTGCGTGTCTTGATATATATGTGTATACAAATATATGTATGTGTATTCATGTATAAAATATGTATGTGTGTGTCTTGATATGTATGTGTATACAAAGATATGTGTTTGCATGTATAAAAATATGTGTCTCTTGATATATATATGTATACAAATATATGTAAATATATGCGTGTATAGAAAACATATGTGTGTGTCTTGATATATATGTATACAAATATATACAGACTATATATGTGTGTGCATGTATAAAATATGAGTATCTTAATATATGTATCATATATACACAATACAAATATATATAGAAATGTATATATGTATACAACTGTGCATATATATCAAGGCACACACATATATATATATTTTTCAGGATGGGGAAATGGTCTGAGAAATGCATCGTTTGTTGATTTTGTTGCTGTGCACACACCCTAGAATGCAGGATCTATTAATAGACGGTAGACCTCCTGCACACCCATGCTATGTGGTACGGCATAGCCTGTTGCTCCCACGCTACAAACCTGTGTAGCGTGTTCCTGCACTCAGTGCCGTTGGCAACTGTAACACAATGGTCAGCATTTATGTATCCAAGCTTAGAAAAGGTAATGGCATTGCGCTACAAAGTTACGATGGCTATGACGTCAGTAGGCGACAGAATTTTCGCCTCCATTATAATCTAATGGGACCACTGTTCACTGTTGTATGTGCAAAGTGTCAGTGACCAAAACGTTGTGATGAGGCATTTTGTCGTTAAATATATACATATATGTGTATATATATATATACACACACATACACACACACACATATATATATTTATATTAAGGAATTGGCTCACATGATTGTGCGAGCTGACCACTCCAAAGTCCTTGAAGCAGGCCAGCAGACTGGAAACCCAGGCATAATTTCTACATTGCAGTCTTGAGGCGGAATTCCATCTTCTCCAGGAAACTGCAGTCTTTGCTCTTAGCACTGTCGACTGATTAGATGTGGCCCACCCACGTTATGGAGGGCCGTCTCCTTTCCTGAAAGTCAACTGATTGCAGACGCTCATCATATCCACGAAATATCTTCACAGCAACGTCTAGGCTACTATCAGACCAAACAAGTGGGCGCCGTATCCTAGCAAGATTGGCATAGGAAATGTAACCTTCACTATTAGGGTATAATTAAAAATAAAACAGCAGGCTAACAGTGCTTCACCATTTGAAGGAATGTCACTGCATTTCTACATTAAATTCAGATTAAGAACTTTTAACTCTTTTTTATTTTTAGAGAAGGTTGTTTGTAAGAAGGAGAGCTCTAGGTCACATGCCCATCGCTGGCGTCTCTTCTTCACCTGCTTTCCACATGTGACCATGTGTCTTGGAATCTGTTATGATTAAAAAGTAAGAACAGGAGGCCAGGTGCAGTGGCTCACGCCTGTAATCCCAGCACTCTGGGAGGCTGAGGCGGGAGGATCACTTGACCTCAGGAGTTCGAGACCAGCCTGAGCAAGAGCAAGAGCCTGTCTCTACTAAAAATAGAAAAATTAGCTGGGCATGGTGGTGTGCACCTGTAGTCCCCGCTACTGGGGAGGCTGAGGCAGGAGGATCATTTGAGCTCAGGAGTTTGAGGTTGCTGTGAGCTAGGCTGATGCCACAGCACTCTAGCCTGGGTGACAGAGTGAGACTCTGTCTCAAAAAAAAAAGTAAGAACAGTTAACCTAGGAAGGTGGAATTTCAGGAGACTTTGTGTTAACATTGAAAGTCACAGTGCTACGTGTTGGGGTGTGCATGTGTGCGCGCATTCTGGCTGTGTAGTGCTGTGTAAGGAATGAACCCAGAACATAGTGACTTTGTGTCTTGAAGTAACAACATGCATCATGCTCAGGAACTTGCAGTCTGAGCAGTGACTGGGGAGAAGCTTCTCTCTGCACCATCTGTTGCCAGCTGGGGACACTTGCAGCCTTAGAATCTGTTCCCAGGTGCACAAGGCCACCTGAGAATGCCTAGTCTGACTGTGTTCTATGGTCTCGTCATTGAATCAGGGTGATCGACGGCCACAGCCTGGTACCCTTGCTGCAAGGAGAGGACGTACACTCGGCGCATGAGTTCCTGTTTCATTACTGTGGGAAGTATCTCCATGCTGCACGCTGGCACCAGAGAGAGAGTGAGTACTAGCTTCCCCTGCTGCAGGGGGGGCAGTATTGACCAGGGATCTTCAGAGAAACAGAGACAATAGATGTGTGAGTGGATGGGTGGGTGGGTGGATACATACATGGATGGATGGATGGATGGATGGGTGGGTGGGTGGATGGATAGATGGACGGTTGGATGGATGGATATATAGATAGAAGGATGGATGGATGGATAGATAGATGGATGGATGGGTGGATGGATATACAGATGGATGGATGGATGGATAGATGGATGGATATACAGATGGATGGATGGATAGATGGATGGATATACAGATGGATGGATACATGGATAGATGGATGGATGGATATACAGATAGATGGATGGATGGATGGATATATAGATGGATGGATGGATAGATGAATGGATACATGGAGGATGGGTGGATGGGTGGATGGATGGATGAATGGATGGATAGATGGATAGATGGATGGATGGATGGATGGATGGGTGGATGGGTGGATGGGTGGATGGATGGATGGATAGATGGATGGATACATGGATGGATGGGTGGATGGGTGGATGGGTGGATGGATAGGTGGATGGGTGGATGGGTGGATGGATGGATGGATAGACGGGTGGATGGATAGATGGATGGATGATTGAATGGATGGTTAGATAGATAGATGGATGGATGTATAGATGGATGGATACATGGATGGATCGGTGGATGGATGGATGGATAGATTAGTGGATGGGTGGATGGATGGATGAATGGATGGATAGATGGATGGATACATAGATGGATGGCTGGATGGGTGGATGGATGGATGGATGGATGGATAGATGGATGGATGATTAGATGGACAATTAGATAGATACATGGATGGATGTATAGATGGATGGATACATGGATGGATGGGTGGATGGATGGATGGATGGATGGATACATGGATAGATGGGTGTATGGGTGGATGGATGGATGGATGGATGATTGGTTGGATGATTAGATAGATAGATGGATAGATGGATACACAGATAGAGGAAAGGGGTAAAAATTAACTAACAATGTCTATGATTCTAATTTCCCAAGGCAGCCATATTGAGCACTTTGGGACGGGTCCCTCTGCCTGTGTATCCCCAGGGTGCCCCACGTAGACACACACACATGCACACGAGGCTCTGATTTGACAACACAAAGGCCACAGTTGTGTGAACAACCTTGTATCCCTTTCTCCTTTATTTAATGTGGGATATTCGCACCACTCTCACAGGGATGACACCTGGGTCTGGGGTTCACACCCTCGCGGATTTCTGCTGCCCTCACTCTCTTCTTGTTTACATTCAGGTGGAAGAGTCTGGAAGGTCCACTACACAACACCACGATTCCACCCCGAGGGAGCAGGGGCCTGCTATGGCCGAGGCATCTGCCCCTGTTCCGGGGACGGCGTGACCCATCACAGTCCCCCTTTGCTCTTCGACCTCTCCACAGACCCTTCTGAGGCTCGGCCCCTGTCCCCCGACTCGGAGCCCCTGTACCATGCGGTGTTGGCAAGGGTGGGCGAGGCCGTGGCCAGGCATCGGGAGACCCTGAGCCCCGTGCCCCAGCAGTTTTCCGTGAGCAACATCGTGTGGAAGCCGTGGCTGCAGCCGTGCTGTGGACACTTCCCGTTCTGCTCCTGCCAGGAGGACGAGGACAGCGCCCCCCACAGGCCAGAGCTGTGAGAGAGGACAAGAGAACCTGACCGGTTTGGGGGGTGGAAATCTCCATCCTTGGTCAATTCCTGTGCTTTTTCACATAACAGAGGAAAGTTAGAACGGCTTGATCTCTGCTGTCAAGAACTCATTGATCTCAAAGGGTTGATTCACTTCCTGCACTTTACGCTCACTATCCATGAATCCTTGTCATGCTAGTTAGAAATTGCCATGGGCTGCTGGGAAGAGAGGCTGAGAATAAGAATGCCTGAAATGAGAGAAGGGTGTGTTCACTCTCGAGTAAAAGGAAGCTCAGACGAAGCAACTCAGGGCTAGCAGGCTCCTGCCAACTCCCTGCTCTACTGTCTTTCACACAGAGAGTTCGCCTCATGGTGTCAATGTGGCTGCTGCAGTGCCAGGCATCACATTCCAGGTGTCAGGAAGCAGCAAGAACAGAAGGGAATCCCTCTTTCCTGCATCAGTCCCTGCAGAGTGGGGATTATCTGGAAGCAACAACTCACTCACGACTTTTGTTTCCAACAGCCATGTGTAGAAACAATTAGAAATTGAGAAACGCAGTCTTTCAAGTGGGCACATGACTGCCCCCGTTAAAATCAGGTCTATGCTAGTCTGCAGAAAGGCAACAGAACCTTTATTGAGTTGACGAAGGTTTTTGATGCGTCATTTAATCGCCAGATTGAATGACTGTATCTCGTTCTGCTTGGAAGAACACGCTACAGCCAGTGTCTGTAACTGACAGATGATCTCCCAACACGCTGAAGACGTCTGGACAGAAAGTTTGAACCTCGGACAAAGCGACAATTGTGAGAGGTTTCAGCCGTACAGAGGGAAGGTGGCTTATCCTCCTGCGTTCCTAAAATTTGGCCAGCGTGTTCTCTAAACCAATTCTGTTTCATCCTCACACCCACCCCCTGTGGCTTGATGACGGAGGTGTAACTCTGACCCCTCGCGCGGCTGGGACCTTCTGCCCCCAGAGCCCAATACTGGGGGGACATCGCACTGTTCCTTTCTGAGTCTATCCATCAGGGGCCCTGCAGGAAGTAGCCGGGCCACTCAAAGGGGGAGATTAAAGGGCATCTAAGGGCTGGGCGCGGTGGCTCACACCTGTAATCCCAGCACTCTGGGAGGCCGAGGCAGGAGGATTGCTTGAGGTCAGGAGTTTGAGACCAGCCTGAACAAGAGCAAGACCCCGTCTCTACGAAAAATAGAAAAATTAGCTGAGCGGGGTGGCTTGCACCTGTAGTCCCAGCTACTCAGAAAGCTGACGCAGGAGGATCACTGGAGCCCAGGAGTTTGAGGCTGCAGTGACCTGTAATGATGCCACTGCACTCTACCCAGGGGTGACAGAGCGAGACTCTGTCTCAAAGATAAATAAATAAATAATAAAAATGAAGGGCAACTAAGGAAGAGAGTGTTCACTACCAGGTGCCAGGTGAGAATGGGGTTCTGGGACCCCACGGGGAAGCAAGAAGCCACCGTCATCCCCAGGCATAGAAGCTTCCAGAATCCAGAGCGGGAGGTAGCAGGGGCCACGCGAAGGAGTGAGGGTCTCAGGTAGAGGAACCGATGCAGCCCTGCTAACCAGGCAGCAGGTCCCCCTCTCCCCAGCTCCCTGTGTCCACATCCTGCGGGGGTGTCTGCTGGCTGAACTCAACCCAAATCCAGAGACAATCCCAGCCGAGGGAGGCAGCATTCATAGAGTTCAGGTTCCCGGGCAAGGGGCCAGCCACACAGGGTCCAAGAGGAAGTGTCCAGCACAACCTAAAAAATAGTAATAAAAGTAGAAACATCTATGGCAGGGGTCCCCAACCTATGGCGAGTTGTATATTATTTCATTATATGTTACAATGTAATAATAATCAAAATAAAGCGCACAGTAAATGTAATGTACTTGAATCATCTCCAAACCATCCCCTCTTCCCCAGTCCATGGAAAAAAATTGTCTTCCATGAAAACGGTCCCTGGTGCCACAAAGGTTGGGGACCTCTGATCTATGGAACTCGGGGCGCACGGGGCCAGCTAGACGCCAGCTCAGCTTTCACTCTATTCGCAACGGTGTTGGCCGACCCCTTAAAACAAACCTTTTGTGCTCGAATTGTTCAAACTGATCACAGCCTAAGAA